GGATCTTGGGCACGCACACGCGCCTGGTGTGAGTTTAAGCCACCGGGTCCGGGACTCGAACCGCAGTCGACACGTGGGAGTCCAGCGACATAGCCATTATGCTAACTGCTGGTCCCAAAATATTTCATTTTAGTATAAAAATATTTAATATATTGTGTACTTAGTACTTAATGCACATAGCATGTTTGAAGGTTTTTTTTCTTTCCATATTTTCATAGTTCATTTCTAAGTAAAAACGGGTGCCAAAAAAAATCATATGATAGAGCCAGCCTATGGCATAGCAGTTATGTCACCACACTCCCACATGACCAACCATAGTTCAAGTCCTGGACCCGGTGGAGTGGCTTGAAACTCACCAGAGCATGTGCGTGCATGCCCAAGATCCCGGTAGGAGAACGAAGGAGAAGAGATTGCGGTGTGGCCATCCCCTAGGGAGTGATCTCTCTCTCTCTCTCTCTCTCTCTCTCTCTCTGTCTCTCTATCTATCTATCTATCTCTATCTCAGTGAGTCATATGCCCCAAGGCAAAAATTTCTACATAACAATTAAAATAACATGAATGACAGCCTCAGATTTGAGTGGGAACAAATGATCGCATGGCTACACCTGCAATACAGAGTTAAGGTGAACTTCAGTCATTTTAGAGCATAATATACTTTACAACAAGCTCTTAAAGCTACCTCGAATATGCTACCAAAGAGGCAATGCGGCCACTAATTAGGAATTTGCTCTACTTAAGAAATGTAGGTATAGAGGAAATGAAGCTTATAAAAAAGGTTAAACAGGGAACCAGCAGTTAGCGTAATGGCTATGTCACTGGACTCCCACAAAGTTGACCGCGGTTCACGTCCCGGACCTGGTGGCTTAAAACTCACGCAGGCGTGCCCAAGATCCCGAGAGGAGAACGGAGGAGAAGGGATTGTGGTGTGACCATCCCCCCTGGGGGGTGATTTCTCGCTTTCTGTTTCTATGTCTCTCTCTGTCTGGCGAGCGCACGCGCCCTATAGCAAAAACCTCTCAAAAAAAAAGAAAAAGATTAAACAAATGATACAACAAATGTGTGTATATTTACATGATATGTGAAATTAATTTTTTGATGTTTTCCTGGACAATGGACAGTCTTTCATGTTTCAGTTTTATAATCCTGGTAGATCTCTCTCTCTCTTTCTCTGGTGAGCTCACACACCCTATAGCAAAATTAATGTGTTGTATGTGTGTGTGTGTGTGTGTTTTGCATGCATGCCCAAACTTCTGATGGGGAAGAGAAATAGAGGAAAAAATTACATAATAGTACGTTGCTGGACTCCCATGTAGTTGACCACAGCTCAAGTTCTGGACCCGGCGGCTTAAAACTCATACCGGGTGCATGTGTGCACACGCCCAAAATCCTGAGGGAAGAATGGAGGAGAAGGTACTGTGGCATGGCCATCTTCCCAGGGTAGGAGGGTGATTTCTCGCTTCCTGTTTCTCTCTCTTTGGAGAGTGCATGCTCCCTACAGTAAAAACCTCTTTTTCAGGGAAAAAAAAAAAAAAAAAAAAAAGAGGAAAGGAACTGTGGCATAACCATGTCCCACAGTCAGGTGTTTCTCTCCCTCTCTTTCTCTCTCTCCCTCTCTTTATCTCTCTCTGGCAAACACAGATACTCTGGCAATAAAAATAAATAAATGAATAATTTTCCTTCCTAACTGTTCCTAGAACCCCAGTGGCTATATCAAACAGAAGTGCTCCTGTTTGCAATGATTAGTCAAGGCTCAAATCACTAGCACAGGACTCCCTGTTCTGAGTATAACTAAACCAAGTCTCTGGGTCAGGAGGCGAGTCAGAGCTGAGACTGAGAACGTAGCCACACTTTTCTAGCTCCAGAAGGAGGAGCGAATTCTCTTAGCTGACAGAATTCTTCAGTGGCTTTATAACTAGCAGGCAATGAGGTAAACTTTTAGTTAAAAAGGCAAAGGATAAATAAAGGGTCAAAAGTTGGCAGTGGAGTAGAAGAAAGAAGTAAATACAAACAAGTTTCTAGTAACAAATCTGAATACAATTCTGAGTGACTGGTCAGAGAAAATAAAGGGAAGAAGGCTGGAGAACCTCACCCAAGGAAGAAACATGGGAGGAAAAAGGAAACCAGAGCATGCTACAGCAACTGGTAAAATAAAGTCAGTGCCTGATTATTATAAATCTAGCCACCACCCTCCCAAAAAATGTTTAAGAGGATGTGAAAAAAAAAAATCTTAAACAGCAGAATAATATTCCAGCACGGAGCTATTCATTTTTAGTTTTCTCCTGGAATGACACCAAACTCACCTTTCACAAACAACAGGCCTGGACTCGTTCATGACAGGTCCCAGGGAGGAACACGCCTGACGCGGGGGTGGAGCGATGGGGACAGTGGAGCTCGAGTCCAGGGAGCTCGTCTTCCGATGAAATGCCTCTTGGGCTAGAGCGGCTGGGGCTGGGGGTGTC